TTATTTCTCTAGGCTTTTGATGCAGGGTGTGCAGTCATCATTTGGAGTTCTTGAGGGGAAAGCAGGCCAGATGTTTTTCACCTATGACCAAGTAGCTGTGGAGATGAAGCGGTATTACACAGCGGGAAAGCTAATTGCTTGTTCTCTCATGCATGGTGGACCAGGTATCAAAGCACTAGATACCACATTATTCAAACTAATGTGTGGCCAACCAGATTCTGCAGAAGAATTTGACTGGCATAACCTGCCAGATGTCGAAATTCAAGATAAAGTGCGACAGGTATGCATCTTCCTACAGTTCAGACAGGAGGTATTTATGTTTTGTGATGGCAATGGAGTTTCTTTGTTTTAAAGGTGTTTTTTTTTTTTTTTTGTCAGACCCAACAAGGCATAGATGGAAGAGTAACAAGCCTTGGGGACTGGATTGTTGATGGTGGAGTCCCAGGCATTTACAGTGCAACACCCAAGGATACGAGACGAATCTACGGGCAGCTGATCAAACACTACATTCACTTTCGGTATGAAACTCTAAATAATTTACATTTTAATCAGTCTACATATTTAATCGTGTTAGCTACAGTGCCCTTCACTGATATTGGCACCCTTGGCAAATATGAGTAAAACTGACTCTGGAAAAGTACCTTTTTTTTTTTCTCTATCCAGATATTTCAGATTCAGAGGTCCACGCTTGTGGACTCATTTTCATCTCCTTTCACAGGTTTTGGAGTTTAGGTCAGGGGTGCTCTAACTCTGTCTAATCTGTGTCTAACTGGGGTTAGAGCTAAACTCTGCAGGAGTTTGGGCATCCCTGATTTGAGTGTTTCTAATTACTCAGATAAAAAACTAAAACATGTAAGGAAGGGAACGGACTTCATTTTTTACATTGCAATTTGAACAGGTGTCAAAAAATGATGGCAGACATGTTTTGTAGAAAATTTGTATTTTATTTATATTAATATTTTGAATGAAAGACTAAAAGGATAAACAGCTAAGACAATTTTTACAAGCTCATATTTACATAGGGTGGCCATTTTTGTGGAGGATACTGCATTGTGACTATATGTTTTTAAAATAATATTCAGTATATAATACAGTATGTGAATTTCTTGGAACCTATTTTAGCAGACGTGATCTCACAGTTCAAAGATGACATGAACTCATGTGCCAACATGTGGCAGATCATAGAACAAAACTGGAAAGTCTTCCTTCCCTTGTTTACGAACAAGCAGAAAGAACTAACTAGAGAAGAATTCAGAGGCCTGTTCAAAATTTGCTTGAGCGAGGAGGGAAGCAACCTCAGAGAGATGGAGGAAGACACGATCTTTTCATGGGAGCTCAATACCATACAGGGAATCAGACTGGGATCATTTTGACTAATATTGTCTTATTTTATAATTATGCTTTTATGCAATCTAACTCTCACAGCTGTGCTGTTGTTCTGAATTAATTTTGCTGTAGGCATAAAATACCACAGGTAATAACAGCTCTTCTGATATTCAGACTAAAAGAACAGTTGTGTGATATTAGCCGCTTTTCAACCGTCAGGCCGAACCTTTCTCATTGCTTAACCGCTCCATTCTGTGCTGATCCGGGCCAGTCAGCTCAGATGTGGTTTCATTTTGCACTGTGGGTCTAATAATAGAGCTCGTAATACAAACACGTCAGTAGTGTCCTTGGTAACTCAAGTGTTTAAATATGGTATGACATGTAAATAGTGTTTGTGTTACGGAGGATGATCAGATATTTCTGTTTATTTTGCTCAAATAGCACACTTGACCAGCTACAGAGAGAAACTAGGAGCCAGACAGCAGACAAGTGAACGATCCTGAGTGACAACTTCTGAGTGTATAAGAATCGTTATACAGCAGATACAGTTAGCTAACCGTGCCGTGCCTAACTGAGCTCAAGTGGAAACATAACTGGAATCTTTCCTTATCCTTTTTAGAACTGTTCAGCCCAATGGAAAAGTGAGTATTGCCTTTAGACAGCAGTTCAATACATTTCAGTACAAGATAATGTTGTCTAACTTTATAATTTTAGACATAGTATTGCCAGTTACTTCGACAGGGCCAATCAAAAATAACTGCTGTATAAATTATGACATGCATATGTGTAGTATGTAGAATTTTTTGTTTGTTTTCTCTTACCAAATCTTTCACACCCTCTTTTCTTAATTTTACAGAAAACCAATCAACAATAGCATTTCAGGAGATGCTGGTATTTATTACTGGAGTGGACAGCATTCCCCCATTGGGCTTCCCAGGACAACCGAGAATCGATTTCAACACACAAGAAAATCGCCGGCTTCCATACGCATCAACATGTGGCATGGTTCTATTTTTGCCTAGAGGCATCCGAGAAGAAGAGGAACTGACTGACTTGCTTAACACTGCACTGAAAGGGTACCTTGGGTTCGGAAAAATCTCAAATTGACAATTTAGTCAAATGTTCAAAATGTTTCAAAAAGTTCAGTGAGAATGTAAAGTGTGTTTTTGGCAAAAACTGTATTTTCTCTAACAAGAATACAGTTATATACAGAATACAGATACAACAGTTATAGCCGATGTTGACGTTGTAGCATAATTAATTGAAAGACTATAATGTTGTTTTTCTATGAGAATAAAAAAAATACTAAAATAAAATGAAATATTAAATCTTCTGAATGAACACTTCCTATAAGTGTTGTGGCTATTGTGCTTTAACTACAAATACAACAGTAAAACTACGGTTACTGCGGTAAACCCATAGTAAGTGTTGTGGCTATTGTGCTTTAACTACAAATACCACAGTAAAACTGTGGTTACGGTGGGAGAAGCATGATAAATATGTTGTAGTAACTGTGCATTGGCTACACATGACATGGTCGAGCAACAGTTACTATGGTAAAAATATGGTAAATGTGTGGACTTTTTACATGATCACGCTTATCACACGATACTGGGTTTGTTGATTTGTTGTGCTGTCATCACCCATGTCTAAAAGCTGAAGGCCCATGTCACAACATGATTAAAAACGGTTTTATTTATTTATGTAAAACTGCGACAGGTCTATATTTAATAGAAGTTAGCTTAGGCTAATGTCAACGGTAGGCTACCAGCTGCGCTAACTGAGCAGCCCACTGTTCCACAAACAACTAATTTGAATGCATACACTGCCATTTTAACACATGACCCCATCTAACGTGATGCAGAAACACTGAAATAATTAAAACAATTCCGTTAACCCCGTGATCTCACTACAAAAAAAGATTGTTGCCCTTACTTACCTGTTTGAAGGTGTGCGTGCATCAGGCCCTTCACTCGCTAACTTCCCTCCGTCTCGTTCACTCCGATGTATGTCATTGATTACGTTGCATGAGTGTCCACTTCTGGTGGAACCCTTGGAATGGGCTGAACTGGAACGTCCTAAACCCTTGATCACTTAGAATCCTCTATGGAGTTTGTTTATTGTTTACATTTTTCCCCTTAAGAATTTGTTTGGTGCAGCATTCTATATGTATTTAGGTATGCTTGGGCTGTTATGAATCAAAAAAAAAAAAAAGTATCATTTAGATATAATAGAGTAGTTTGGGGTGGGGACCAATTAAACGCAATCTGCGATGACGTCACAATCGTGTTGCATTGTGGTCTACGGAGCGGCCTGAAGTGTGCATATGAAGCAGACTCACTCCCTCGGTCAAAATTTGAGGGGTCGAGGGTCTGTCCATATAAACTTCCCTCGTTCACTTCTCAATGTGGAATGCACTTCAAAATGGCAGCGGGGATTCCCCCGAGGGGAAGTGCTTAGGGAAGTTCGCGAGTGCGTGCCTAAAAGTGGAGTGGAACGCAGCCCAGAACTGGGCGAACTGAGCCTCACTGGTGACCTGACTGCTGCTGAAGATGACGCATGGTATTTGGACGCATCTGCTCTCCACCGAAGTTAATGGGGTTGCTAATGTAGACAAATAGCCGTCTCATTTAATCTCAGTCATGTGTGGAGTAAAATTTTTTAGGCAATTAATAGCTTTATTGAGAAATTAAAAACAGAAAGCAAAAAAGTAAACTTTCAGCAGCCAAAAGTTGCTAAAACATAAAAAGTAAACAAAGTATTAATAAAAAGGTAACATTGAATCAGTAATTACTCAAAGAAAATACAAAAATTAGCTAAGTAAAAGTGAAAACTAATGGAGATGATCTCTCTCTCTCTCTCTCTCCTACTGACTTACAAGTAGTGAAGGGTATCATTAAGACTTTAACAGTATTATACTACTCTTACAATACTGCTTATTGATCTGGTGCTTCTTTTTTAATGAAAAAAACTGAATGGCTTTATATTCTGAAATGTACAAATATATAGCAAAGAAACAGCATGTTTGAACAAGTTACAATTACAAAAAAATTTTTATTTGATTAATTGCACAGACCTAAAGTGCAAGAGAGATCTCTCTCTTGTGGATTGCAAATAAATAAAACGCATCATAGACGAATGTCTTGATATAATCATATAGAAACGGTTGGCAAGATACATTTAGCTTGATCCTGTTTCCAAAAAAAATAATAAATACTAAGTGTATTTTCTTAATTTCTCCAGTACCGAAAGCAGAACCGATAACATCAGAGCTTATCAATACTGTCTTTCGTAATTCAGCCCCAGGGCTCGTTTAATACCGGGTTCAGGTACCATCTCTACTGCACTTACAAGAGAAGAAAAGAAGCATCAGTTGCAAAGCTACATGACAGTATATCTTGCATCTGCGTTTTCAAAATTCATCATAAGTGGAAGAATAACTAGTCATTTTAAAAACAACAATGAAGAAGAAATTAAAAATAAATCTCAGTCTCTCTTAAAAGTGTTACAGCCTCTTCTTCAGCTTCCTGAACGAGAAGGGTTTGTGAAAAGCTCCTGCTTTCCTTCATGAAAGAGTAAGCAAACTACAAGTGATACTTATGCACTATAAGACAATTTAACATTATATGAAACAAATAAAAAAGCAAATGACTTTTTGACATTCTCTTTGAACATTTGACATGTTCTTTGGGGAGGAACTCCATCTTTGAGTTGATCTGAATCACACAGTTGAATCTGCTGGCTTTGAAGATGAAGAACTTTATTCACTGTGAAACATTAGATAATGTTTCCATGTCACTTGTAATGACTGGTTAGGAAAGATTTATCCAGATTATATTTTATTGCTTGCTGCATTATTGTGTAACATTTGGTGAGGACGCATCAGAGCTGAAAGTACTGATCTGAAGATGATCTACTTACTGTGATTGTTTTCTGTATGACTGAGTAGAGAAGATGATTGATTGAAACACTTCCCACATGCAGTGCAGTGATACGGTTTCTCTCCAGTGTGGATCCTCTCGTGTGAAGTGACGTGACATGTGGCCAAGTATGGTGACCCATTCTCGGAATTAGTGCTCTGCATTTATCCCATCCAAAGTGCACAAACACAGCAGTGAACGGGCAGCCATTTTTGCTGCGGCGCCCGGGGAGCAGTTGGGGGTTCGGTGCCTTGCTCAAGGGCACCTCAGTCGTGGTATTGAAGGTGGGAGAGAGTGCTGTACATTCACTCCCTCCACCTACAATCCCTGCCGGTACGAGACTCGAACCCACAACCTTTGGGTTACGAGTCCGACTCTCTAATCATTAGGCCACAACTTCCCCAGTGTGTTTTCAGACTTGATGTCCGAATGAATCTCTTGTCACAGTGTGAACACTTGTATGGTGTGATCATCAAGACCATATATGCTTGTCAAACTCTTTCCACACTGAGTGCAGGTAAAAGATTTCTTGGCTCTTCTTTTCTTTAAACCTTTCTGTTTGGTTTCAGAGCAACTCAAAGGTTTTTCTCCAGTTTTGACATGATTTTTCTCCTTATCTTCACTCAATTCTTCATTCTCCTCATTTTCTTCAATAAACTGAAATAAAAGTAAAAACAGTTCATTTTCAGAAACTCAAAAAAAACAAAAACAAAGAAATGTGAAAGGAGATTGTGTTTGCGGAACGATGTATGTTATAATACAATAATGAATATGAGAAATACCATAAGCTGCTTGCTTCTCCTTGACGCTGATGAATGAGGGAAGGGACATCGACGTTATTCAGCTTCACTCATGTGTGCAGTGAAATATAATTATTAGGCATTTAAGCTCTATTGAGAAAATTAAAACATGGAAAGCTCAAAGAGCAAACATAATCCTTCATGGCTTTCACAACTGAAATTAAGAAATTATTCCTGATGCAAACAGAATCGGCAGAAAATAAAAAACAGACAATAACAATAAGATGTTGATAAAATGAGTAATGAGTTTAATCAATCATTACTTGAAGCAAATGCAAAAATTAAGTAAAAGTTAAAACGAATGAGACAGATCGCTCTCTCTTTACTGGCTTAGAAGAAGAGAAGCAAAGCGTCCCGTTTCAAAGCTACATGAAAGTATATCTTGTATTTGCATGGAAGAGTAGAAGTGGAAGAGAAACTAGATGTTCTGATGAAAAACAATGAAGAATGAGTTAAAAAT